CAGAGTAATGGAGGCTGTAAAAAGTAAAAAGAATTCCTTTAAGCAGTGGAAAGCTAGTCACAGTGAGGCTGATAAAACGGAACACAGGCTATGGCAAATAAAATGCAAGTCTGAGGTCAGGCAGGCAAAAAGGGAATATGAGGAGCATATAGCAAAAAACGTAAAAACCAACAATAAAACTTTCTTCAAATACATTAGAAACAGGAAACCAGCCAGGGAGGCAGTGGGGCCCTTGGACGACCAAGGGGTAAAAGGAGTATTGAAGGATGATAGGGAAATGGCTGAGAAGCTAAATGCATTTTTTGCCTCCGTCTTCACTGTGGAAGATGAGAAGTGCTTGCCCACTCCAGAACCACTGATTTCAGGAGGGGTGTTGAAAGACCTGAGTCAGATTGAGGTGACGAGAGAGGAGGTCCTAAAACTGATAGACAACTTAAAAACTGAAAAATCACCAGGCCCAGATGGCATACATCCGAGAGTTCTGAAAGAACTCAAATGTGAACTTGTAGATCTCCTGACAAAGATATGTAATCTTTCCTTAAAATCTGCCTCCATTCCTGAGGATTGGAAGGTAGCTAATGTCACTCCCATCTTTAAAAAGGGTTCCAGAGGAGATCCGGGAAATTACAGGCCAGTCAGTCTGACGTCGATACCGGGTAAATTGGTGGAAACCATTATTAAGGAAAGAATTAGTAGGCACATAGATGAACAAAACCTATTGAGGCAGACTCAGCACGGTTTCTGTAAGGGAAGATCTTGTCTCACTAACCTGTTAGTGTTCTTTGAGGGGGTGAACAAACATGTGGACAAGGGGGATCCAATAGATATTATTTACCTTGACTTCCAGAAAGCTTTTGATAAAGTTCCTCATCAAAGGCTCCTAAGTAAGCTCAAAAATCATGGGATAGAAGGACAAGTCCTTTTATGGATCAAAAACTGGCTAGTTCATAGAAAACAGAGAGTGAGTGTAGGTGGGCAATTTTCTCAGTGGAGGGTGGTAAGCAGTGGGGTACCGCAGGGATCAGTACTTGGTCCACTGCTTTTTAACTTGTTCATTAATGGAAGCTGTAAAAGGTAAAAAGGATTCCTTTAAGCGGTGGAAAGCTAGTCACAGTGAGGCTGATAAAACGGAACACAGGCTATGGCAAATAAAATGCAAGTCTGTAGTCAGGCAGGCAAAAAGGGAATATGAGGAGCATATAGCAAAAAACATAAAAACCAACAATAAAACTTTCTTCAAATACATTAGAAGCAGGAAACCAGCCAGGGAGGCAGTGGGGCCCTTGGATGACCAAGGGGTAAAAGGAGTACTGAAGGATGATGGGGAAATGGCTGAGAAGCTAAATGCATATTTTGCCTCCGTCTTCACTGTGGAAGATGAAAAGACCCGAGTCAGATTGAGGTGACGAGAGAGGAGGTCCGAAAACTGATAGACAACTCAAAAACTGATAAATCACCAGGCCCAGATGGCATACATCCGAGAGTTCTGAAAGAACTCAAATGTGAACTTCTGGATCTCCTGACAAAAATATGTAATCTCTCCTTAAAATCAGCCTCCATTCCTGAGGACTGGAAGGTAGCAAATGTCACTCCCATCTTTAAAAAGGGTTCCAGAGGAGATTAACTTTAGCCACTTCACTGCTTACTCCCAACTCCAAATCATTAATGAACAAGTTAAAAAGCAGTGGACCAAGTACTGATCCCTGCGGTACCCCACTGCTTACCCCCCTCCACTGATATCCACCCTCCCTTGCACTAATATACAAACATGCTTCTATAAACAACAAGAAATTTATTTCAACAGTTTAACAAACAAAGAACAAAACCTTTTTAGGAACTGTAAACTTTTTAGAAACTGGAGCTTGCCGCTCAGGGATCCTCCGTGGACTCCGTCGCAGGAGTGGAAGGTGGTGCGGGATGCTGCAGTCGATCAACGTCCCTGCGGAGACGCCGCACTATCCGTCGTATCATGTCTATCAGCTGCAGCACCTGATGGACTGCGGAGTGAAGGAAGGGGGGGGGTATTTAGATAGGGCCTTGTGGAATCCCCAAGGGAGTGCAGTTGCCTGTGGCAGTCAGATCACCACATATCGGTAACAGTGGCCCATCCCGTGGGCACTGGTTTACCGGAAAGGAAAACCATGTCATCAAAGCCACAGGCCTCATAGGCCAAAGACTTCGCCTGCTCACACTGACCGGTGGGGCTATTTCATTTTGTAATGTGCTGCCAACACTCACTGGAGTGACACCGCCTTCCCAGAGGGACAGTGAGACACCTCTGGACAATCCCCAACCCTCGGAAAGTGAGTACCACAATCTTTGGGCACCCCCTGGAGAATTGGCAACCCCTCCAAATTGGGCCCGTTTGGGTTCCCTGGCCTCCTCTTGGCCCCTGTTAACTTCCTGAGCAGGGAGGACCATGTGGCCATGGCACACCAGGCCCTAAAACTCTGCCCCTACACCCCCTTCGGCCAATCTCAGGAGACTGTGGGCCCCAGGATGGGATTTGCTTTCCCTCTCCCAAAAGACTGGACTTACATCTGTTTGTCACCCGTTCCTCATGCTACTGTTGCCAATGCCACAGCTCCCGGCAGCCATGGCAGGTCTCCACACACCCCGCAGCCTGGGGTGACGCCGCCAACTGACCTAAGGCCAATAGAATACAGCTTCTAATCAGGGCAAGAAGTACATTCCCCATAGGGCGACCTGAGTTGGACCTTACCTGCGGCCGACTCTGCCGAGGACATGATAGGGATTGGCCCCTGTGCTGCCAACCCCTCCTCTCTCTCCTCGGGGGGCGCCCCTGAAAAGAGCACAAGTTGGGTTAGGGAAGCGCGTAGATCAAGGAGCAGCCCCCAAACACTAGTAGTAGTCCTGCGTGAGTTCTTACACAGGTACGGTAAAGGTCGTCACCGCACTCTGGCCACTCACCATGCTGTTTCCATCAGCACGGCCATTCCTCACACACCACAACCTCCTACTTCCAACAAACCACTGTCCACTCACCCTCTCCCGCGTCCCCCGAGGGTACCAGCACAGGTCCTGGCGATTGTGCCGCCTGATGTCCTCCAGCTGTGTTAGAAGGCGGGGGAGAAATGGTCACTGCAGAGTTCAACAATTAACCTTAGCTCATGGTCAGATTACGGATTTAAAGTCAGTGCAATACGCATATCGTACACTCACCTGCCCCATTGTCCCCTGAGGACAGTGTCACGGCCTCCCCGGGCAGAGAGGGTCCGGCTGCAGAAAAAGGAGAAGGTATAAGCTGTCAATGTAGTAGTCACGTCAATGACCTGGGGTGCGTGAGGCCCACAGGTTACGATCACTGTGCTTTCGCAGAGGGCACACTTACCAGCGGCTGGTGCTTCCGGGGGTCCCACTGCTGCTGGCTCATCTGAAGATGAGGTTGGTGGCAAGACTCTGGCCCTCTGGGCCCATCCCCGTCTCCTCACTCGAGGTCTCTCTACAGATGAGAAAGTGTTGCATTTGAAATGTGGATGGCGTTTGAGGCTGGGATATGTGATTATAAAACCTCTGAGTCAGCCTTGGAGGGTGGAGTCCAAGGTCCCACCTTGAGGTTGGCAACCCTGGCCATGGCAGAACCCTTGGGGGTGACTTGATACCACCCGACTTGCGTGACTCAGCCAGGTCTGGCTGCTTGCTGCTGTTCAACAGCAGCGACCCTATGAAAGTCAGTGTGGTACAGCACTTTGCGCTCCAGAGTAGTTTCAGATTCCCTACTGGCTGTGGAAGCTCACTGGGTGATTTTGGACCACTCACATACTTTCAGCATACTTTCAGCCTAATCTACCTCACAGGGTTGTTGTGCAGATAAAAAGGAGAAGAGAAAAATCTACACTGCTCTGGTCCCCACTGTGGAGTAAGATAGTAGTTTTCCTAGGTAGAGGCAGCGGGGGAAGAGAGTGGAGATAGAAAACTTAAGACAGAGGAGCAGGTAAAGGAGGGTTGGCTGTTGGGTAGAAAAGAGATAGGGTTGCCAACTCCAGGTTGGAAAATTCCTGGATATTTGAGGGGTGGAGCCTGGGGAGGGTGGGATATGAGGAGGGGAGAAACTACAGAACATTATAATGCCATAGACTCCACCCTCCAAGGTACTTACATGGGGCTCTCCGCTAAAAAACCAGTTGGGTCTCCCCGCTTGCGTCCACAGACGCGCCAGCATCAGGAAGTCCTCTAAGGCGTCGAAAAACGCAGATTTTTCTCTCTTAAATTTGGCTCTGACTTGAGAGCTGGTGCGTGGGTAGCCCTCTGCCCCTGGCCACCCTAGAAAAAATTCCCAGTGTACGCATGTGAGTGCTGGGCATCACCCTGGGCCCAGCACACATCTCATACAGAAGCTCGAGTATATGCTCGACCTCTGCATTCTGCCAGAAGATGCCCATTCTTCTAGCAGCCTTTACAACGTTAAGGAAGGGAAGACAGATGTTCGCCATCTGAATGCCGGTAAGTACAACGATTGCAACCGGCACAGATTCCGTTGAAAAGGCTGCGTCTGAATGCACCCAGAGTGTTCGACTGGATGGGCCTTTGGCCTGATCCAACATTGGCATCTCTTATGTTCTCCATGTGAAGGCTGCTGGGTGACCTCTGGCCCGTCCCGGTTCTCTCAGAGTCTCTTCCAGCCCCACAAGGTGCCCGTTGTGGGGAGAGGAAGGGCAGGCAATTCTGAACCGCTTTGAGACACAGAAAAGTAGGGTATAAGAACCAACGCTTCTTCTTGTAGGTGGGCTGGAAGCAACAGGGGGAAGTTTATAGCCGGAGGCCTTGGCTTAGTTTTCGAAGTAGACGGGCAGGAGGGGGCTTGGCGATAGAATTTGAGTTTTGCTTGTCTAAAATGCATCGTAATTTCTTTAAAAAAAATCTCTGAACTGGATTTATTCTTAGCGCTTGGATTTTTCATGTATAGCTATCCCTTTTGCTGTTGCATATTTCCTTCCTTCCGGTGTCTGTTATTGTGTTTTGATGAGCCAGTGCAATTCATGCCAAAGAATCGAGGATCACACGGTTACACAGGAAAGGTGGATTACTCCTATTTCACAGGAAAGGTGGGCAGTCCTATGCTTTGGCTGTTACTGCAACTGAGCTCCTTGGGAGAGTTTGTCAATATTGCCCGGCACTGGTGTTGGGGGCCCTGAGCCACGGCCCCAATCCAGGAGGGCTTAAGCCCCTCCCCCCAGTTTCCCCTTTTGTTCCTAGCCAGGGTGAGGAAAGAGAGCCTCCATCGGCAGGGGCAGTCAACCTGTGATTCCCAGCGCCGGAAGGCGGCGACAAGAGGGGAAGGGAGCCCCTCCCTCCCCGATCCTGCAGGGGGGATGGCGGAGCAGCCCTGTAGCGAGCAAATTATCTGCGGGGGGTGGGTGCAATCTGTAACCGAGGGCCAAAGTGACCCGCCACAAGGCAGCCGCCAGTTTGTGCAATGCCCCTCTCTCCGCGGGCGCCTCCGACTCCGGGCGCGGGAGGGGCTCCGCTCCACCCCCGGCCACGAGGCTCGCCCCCGCCTCACCTGGCCTCCCGACCCGCCGGCCTGGCCGCCCTCCTCCCGCCCGGGCTGCGCGCCTGCCTGCCTGCTTGCTGCGCCCTTGCGCGCCAGGGAGGCGCCCGGAGGCCAGAGCCGGCCCGCCCCCCCTCCTCCCTCCCCCCCCCGGCTCGGCCGG